GTATAAATACAACCTACTGATCATTTAAACTTCTTTAGAATGAGATAGGTAGTAAAAAGTAGTATATGCAAAATTTAACTTATTCATATAATTATAAAAGGACTGCTCACCTCAATGAGAGCTAAAAAAATTCAATTCGAATAATTGTATGGTGTATTGACTACATATGAGATACGATACTCTACAAAATCGTAAATATGATTGTGACTAACTAAAAAAAAAAAAAAAAAAAGACATATATTTAAAAGGTGCTCTTCAACAAAAAAAATCATACTCATCTAACTGTATATCATCCATTCCATATAATCCCTAGTTAAGGCCGGAGCAAATCGCACGTTGATACGTGTGTTGTTCTCCCAATTAACTATAAAACATTCATATAATTTGATGCTCTGAACTTCCCATTATATACTATTTAGCAATGAACAAATAAATAAAAAATAAAATAAATAAAATAAATAAAAAAATAAATAAATAAATAAATAAATAAAAATAAAATAAAATAAAAAATATAAAAAAAATCATTTTCAAAAGTTGACACTTCCCATAATTTCAAAGATTAATAAATTCAGTCATTAATCTGTGATAAATAAGCTTTATAACAATGCAAAGCTTCTTATCAACGCCTAATTTCAACAAAACTTTTTTCTTTAAAGAGCCTCAAACTCTTTATGAGAAGTTTAGTAATGCATTCGCATATTATAAACAAGTATCTCTTTGTAACCCACACCCAAATCGTCAACAACTCATGAAGGATTGTAACCTGGCCTGGAAACAAATCAAAAAGGAAAATAAAACAGTAATTGATGAAAAAATACATTCATATTTTAATTCAATTCCTTCACACGTTTATTGCCATCAATCAAAATTTACCTCACGCAATATGAATAATTCTGGCAGCTCTTCTTTACCGAATAATATTTCAGTGATTCATACGTCTCTACAATGTGAAGATGAATTGCCCAAAAATGCCGTAAGTCAACGAGATGCATTTCAAAAAATAACAGCAGTGACTAAAAAAATATCAGAATACGAACAAATGTATTTAATCTCAACAGATGAATCATTTAAGGAAACATTGGTATCAAATATGGTTAATGAAAAAAAAATAGTTAACGAACAGGAAACGTGATTAAAAAAGCTCAAAAGACATGCCCAAGCCCAAGCAAGGCTCGAAGACAAAAAAGCAAAAATGCTTGAAGAGGGTATTGTAGAAAAATATGATGGACCCGGAAGGCCATCAGCAGCAATGATCCATCCTGATTTTTGGGATAAAATTCATGACTGCATTGAATTTGGAGCTGCGCACAAAAAAAAGAAGAAAAGTTGTTGTTAAAGTGCACACAATAAAGCATCTTCGCCAAGCATTAGAAGATAAATATAATGTATACTTATCTCGCCAATGCATATTTACGTATTTAGAACCACGCCATCCAAATATATTTGCAGCACGTCACCACCATCATCCGGCTAGAGTAGCTCTCGCCTCCGTAGCATGAACAGAGATGAAATCTCACATTGACGAACATTATTGCTTAGCTTCTGTCAAAGCCGCCTGGACCCTGGTTGAAGTTTTTCCTAATGATGCAGTTATCATCTCTCAAGACGATAAAGCAAAAATCGGTTTAGGTGTTCCGGCAGTTGGTCGTACGTTTAAAACCATTCAAACTATTAATGAACCCGTCTCAGTTGCTGACCATGACTTTTCAGTCAGTAGTAAAATGAAACTCATACCCTCCGTTTATCTTGTTATCGATCCAGCCAACTCAAACGATAATCTTCGTCTGAGCCAACTTGCAATATTTGTTAGACCTGAGTATTTTGTTGGTACAACGTCATTAACCCATATGTCTGACCTTGAAAAT